ACCAAAGGGTGCAATCACAGCAAAATCTGACTATAGGAAATTCTCCAGGACAAATGACCCAGTTTCCACAATTAATAAATTGCAAGGGAAAAAAACTAGGAAGGGAGAGGAAACCTTTAGTTTATATGGAAGAGACAGCAACCGGTTGTAACGTATAGTCCTTACTGGATCTTGATTCAAACAAACTGTTAAAAAATAAGACCATCAGAGAAATTTGAACATTGACTATGGTTTTTAAAAATGATATTTAAAAACTATTGTTAACTATTTCTGGCTGTAGTAGTGGTGTTAACAGTTATATTTTTAAATACACCTTTTAGAGATGCCTACAGAAATTTTTACAGATAAAAATGAGATGATGCCTGTGCTTTGCATCAAATAATTTGGGGGAGAAAAGGGATCAGGGTATAAGTGGAATGAGACTTGCCATGAATTGAAATGGGAGAATTTGCTATTTTTGTTTCTGTTTAAAATTTTCCATTAAAAGTTTAAAAAAATATATCCAGGAAAACAACATACTTGTGAAAAGATATTTAAACTCTACAAAATTATTGGTGAATATTTAACTGATCTGAGTAATGAATGACTTTCTAAGTATAAAATAAACAGATAATATACTAAGAAAAGACTGCTACTTTCAACTAAAATGAAAGTTTAAATTGTGTGTGTTTAAAATGTTATAAAATTAAAAGATAAACACTTTGAGAAAAATATTTGCAACTCAAGAAAAATAAAAGGTTAAAATGCTTAATATATAAGGGAGTTAATAATAAAGCTAATACATTCTGCTTATAATGTGCTAGGCACTCTTGTAACCACTTTACAAAAACCATTTCAGTTCTTATAAAATAGAAAAAGTACCAAGATCCCATGCTCCAATAGATAATTGATAGAAGAAATTCTAATAATCAATAAACAAATTATATTTAACTTCACAATAATTAAATAATTGTAATTTAAAATGTACTAAGATTTTAAGCTATCAAAAAAATGAAGATGGTTGTTACTGATTAACACCTATTGTTGGTGGCACAGTGATATGGTCAATTTCTTATATTGCTGGTGGGAGTGTAAGTTGGAAAAATGTTTCTAGAGAGCAATTCAGCAATATGAATTGAATCTTGAAAGCATTTATATCTCTTAATGCTGTTATGCTCTCAGGAATGTATAGCATTGACATGATCAGAGGTGCATATGAAAATGTAGATGCAAGAAGGTTTATCAAAGCTTTATTTGTAATTAAGAAAATTGGGCCTAGCAAAGTGGTTCCCCACTGTAATCCCAGCGCTTTGGGAGGATCTCTTGAGCCCAGGAGTTCGAGACCAGCCTGGGCAACATAGGGAGACCCCATTTCTACAAAAAATAAAAATATTAGCCAGGTAGACCCAGCTACTTGGGAGGCTGCGGTGGGAGGATTGTTTGAGCCTGGGAAGTCAAGGCTGCAGTAAGCTGTGATCATGCCACTCTACTCCAGCCTGGGTAATAGCAGGGCTCTGTCTAGAAAAAGAGAAAGAGAGAGAGAGAGAGAGAGAAAGAAAGGAAGGAAGGAAGGAAGGAAGGAAGGAAGGAAGGAAGGAAGGAAGGAAGGAAGAGAAAAAAGAAAAAAAGAAGCATTGGAAGCAACCTAATTTCCAAGTGAGAAAAGGAGCATTTAAAGAAGTTATAGGACCGGGCGTGGTGGCTCACGCCTGTAATCCCAGCACTTTGGGAGGCCGAGGTGGGCAGATCGCCTGAGGTGAGGAGTTCAAGACCAGCCTGGCCAACATGGTGAAACCCCATCTCTACTAAAAATACAAAAATTAGCTGGCATGATGCACACCTGTCGTCCCAGCTACTCAGGAGGCTGAGGCCAGAGGATCACTTGAACCTGGAAGGCGGAGGTTGCAGTGATTCGAGATCATGCCACTGCACTCCAGCCTGGGTGACAGAATGAGACTCTGTCTCAAAATAAGTAAATAAATTAATAAGTTACAGAACATGAATATATTGGATATTAGGGAAAATAGCCCATCAACAGGTGAATGGATACATTAATTTGAAGTAATGGAATGTTAGCAATAAAAAGAAATGAATTATGGTACACACAACATGGATGTGTTAAACTATTATGCGGAGAAAAAAGACAAAAAAAAAGGGAGAATATACTGTTTGAGTTCATTTATATGGAATTCTAGAACAAGTAAAATTTATCTACAGCTAAAGAAGTCAGATTAGTGGTTGCCTCTGAGGTAAGTCCAAGGATTGATTTAGACAGGATGTAAAGTAACATTCTGGGAGGATGGAAATGTTCTATCTTGATTAGGTGTGTTTTTAATGGGTGCACCCATTTATCAAACTCGTCCCCTTTACCTATGAAATTTCTGCTCAGACTTCATGTAAGTTTTTGCCTTTAACTGTATGTAAATTAGACCTTAAAGACTCATATTTTCCAAGAAGATTTAATAAAACAGGCAAAATATTCACCTTACCATTTTAATTGGAAAAAAAGAGGCATGATACAATGCAATGTATACAGCATGGTTCTAATTACGTAAAAGAAAATACATTAATAAAACTAGAGATACACAGGCAGAAATAACAAGAATGATGTATGCCAATGAACATATACAAACGTAATTTGAAAAAAATAGTAAATATTCTTGTAGTCCCACTTCATACCAAATTCCCTTTTTCTTCTTACGTTCTAGACTTCACCTTCTTTCAGTTCCTCATATGAAGAAGGTGCTATTCCCATACCTCTAATGACCCCCTCATTCTCTTCAGCAATTTAATCCCTGCTCAGTCTTAAGTTGTCAGATGAATCTTGACTTCCTCAGAGAAGCTCTGGTTTCCCCATCCAAGTCAAGCCCTCCCATTCCCCAGGCTGGGTCAAGCACCTTATGCTGCTGCTTTGTGCCATTTAAGAATTGTGATTTTTTATTTTTTGCATATACCTCAGGTAAACCAAACTGCAAAGTTAAGGGCAGTGTCCTCCACACTGCCAAGAGTGCCTAATACTTCTGACACCAACTACACATGCAAGAGTTTCCCGAAACCACCCTCATATTCAATAATTTTCTCTAACAGAAAAACTCACAGAACATTCGTTACAAGGAAAGGATACAAATTAGAATCAGCCAAAGAAAGAGGGCAGAGTCTGGGAGGTTTCCATATGTGTCAGGCTTTGGTTGTCTCAGGATGCCTTATGCCCATAGCATCTATATGTGACAATCCACATAAAGTATTGTCTATCCAGGAAGCTCACCAGAGCTCTACTGTCCAAACTTTTTATTGGAGCTTCGTAATGCAGGCATGATAGATCGGTTGATTGCCTGCCCATGTGGTTGAACTCAGTCTCTAAATCATATGGTTGGTCTTTCTGGATTTCAGGCTGTGGCCAGCTGCCACCCTAAGGCTATTGCATGTGACTTGGCCCCACCATGAGTCAGCTTATTAGCATAAACTGTCAGGCATGGTCCCAGGAGCTCATGATGAGTGGTGAAGACACTCCTGTCAGTCAGGAAATTCCAAGGATTTAACAGTTACTTCCCAGGAACTCGGACAAAGGCCAGATCGTTCTTTGAGCAGGGCAAAATTCTTGCTACACAGGTGGGTTTGTAAATAAGTCTCCCCTTCACCCCTCAGACTGTAAGCTCCAAAAGAACATGGATCACATCTGGTTTTGCTCCCAGTTTTATCCCTCACACCTAGCATAGTGGTTGGCAAATACTGAGAATCTGCATAACATAGACTTGGGAGGCAGCCAGTCTGAATTTGAATCTTGGCTTTTCTCTTCACTAACTGTGTGTGACTCTGGACGAATTACTTAACTTCTTGTTGCCTAACTGACTTCATCTGGAAATGAGAGGTAAAGATAATACCTATCTCAGAGAGTTGCAATGAGTATTGGATGAAAGAACATCAGTGAAGGTCTCAGAATAGTGCCTGGCACAGAGAAAAAAAACTAGATAAATGTTTAATATTATTAAATGCTTGATAAGTAATTACTGATGGAATAAGTGTCTGGCACATGAAAGGTGCTAATAAATGTTTTTGAAAGAACAGAAAATAATATTTTCTTCTTTAGTAGACTTTCCTTTAATATAGTACCATATACTATATACTATACTACATACTGTATACTATATATAGTACCATATATACTGATTTGCACATCATTAATTATTCTAAAATTGTAGCTCAATAATATGCTTAAGAAAAGTATAAAAAAAGTTTCAGAGTTTTTTCACCTCTCCAGCAGGCTGTTCCCTCAACCATGTAGTGAGGAACTGAATTAGACAAGGTTCAAGATCTCTTCCAACTCCAACAACATGTTATTTGTCCTTAGGAAACAAACTAGATATAACAACAGAGAAGACCATTTTACATGGAGGCATGAAAACTTTGAATGTGTAAGTTTCCATTTTAAAAAAAGGAACAAAGAAAATATTCCATTGATTACCAAAATTCATCTTTAATATATCACAACACAAGTTTGAATTGTAGCAGTACATTTTTAATAATTTGATGAAATTTGACTCCCTTGTAAACCATACACGGTCATAGAAAATTTATTTTCATCTGTGAGAAATGGCTAGTTTTATCTTGGCACATAAACAGGCCTAATGTAAGCTTCTAGAAGGTTATTGATAATAGAATCAGTAATAGCTCCAAACAAGAGATTCAACTCAACATCTTCAAATAAAACCCCAGCAACTAGAAAAAAAAGAATCAACTTTTAAAACATTATTTTTAGTTACAAAGTAATGCATATTCATTTAACTGCAAAAACCAAATGTTTTTTCATTGCTTTATTATTATTAAGCAATTACTTAATTATTTAATAATAAAAGTAAATATGTTCCAAACACCTTTCCTGCCATGTTTATTTTCCAAAGACAGCAGATGTTAACAGTTTGTTCTGCATATTTCTATGCACATACACTCAACAAAAAAATATATATACATATGCACCTTTTACCAATGGTATTTGTAAAGTGTACTTTTTCTTGCCATTTTAGTGTTACCACAAGCAGTCACCCAGTTTGAAGAATTGGTTGGTATGGCTGAGGCTCTGCTTAAGGGTGGAGGAACCATGTCTACATCTGCATCCACCCTCTGGAGAGCAACAAACAACTCCTCGCCAGATTCATTTGCCTCAACGTGCAGTAATTCTAACTCCAGTTCACCAGATTCCTTAAAGCCTGAAGAAGAGCATCAGACTGATGAGAAACAGGTCAGGTGCAATAACCGCCTTATTGTTCTTTGGAATACAGTTAAATAAAAAATTTAAATAAGGGTAGACAATGATCATTGTTTTATCAGATAACTATTGGATAAACTAGTTTTATGCAATAGGAATATTACAATTATTAAGTACTACAAAAAAGAGGCATAAGGTGACTGGGTGTGGTGGCTCACCTCTGTAATCCCAGCACTTTCGGAGGCCGAGACGGGCAGATCACGAGGTCGGGAGATTGAGACCATCCTGGCTAACACGGTGAAATCCCATCTCTACTAAAAATACAAAAAAAAAAAAAAAAATTAGCCGGGCATGGTGGCAGGCACCTGTAGTCCCAGCTACTCGGGAGGCTGAGGCAGGAGAATGGTGTGAACCCAGGAGGCGGAGCTTGCAGTGAGCCGAGATCGTGCCACTGCACTCCAGCCTGAGTGACAGAGCAAGACTCCGTCTCAAAAAAAAAAAAGAGGCATAAGGTGCTTGACCTCGCCTGGGGAAAGGGAAGGGAGGGCTTGACTTAGGAGGGGCAAGAAGATTTTCTCTGAGGAAGTCAAGATCAATCTGAGAACCAGAGGCATAAAACTGTTGTCCTTTTATAATAAAAACTAGTATTTGTGAAACAAATACCCAGTTTAGAACATTAAAGGCAAATTGGGGACAAAGATAAAGTTATTGAACCTAAAAATTCTTATACCAGTGACAGAAAGATACCTATGCATTCAGGATTATACAATTTTATATCATTGAGAGGTAAATTTCAGCCTCAGCATGCTGGCTGAACACAAGTCTTTTTCTATTTTTCTACTTAATCAAGACACAGATGCTAAAAAGACAAAGTTTTGTTAGAATCAGGTAGTCTCAGTAAGTATACCATCAACCATGATAAATGTTAACTAACAATCTAACATTCAAAATATTTGAATCTTAGCGTATCAGTTACCTATTGCTATATAACACATTATCACAAATTTAGTGATTTCAAATGACCCAAGTTTACTATCTTAGAATTCTATAGATCAGAAGTCTGGTACAGGTCTCACTAGACTAAAGTCAAGGTGTTAGCAGGTGTATTTCTTTCTGGAAGCCCTAGGGCAGAATCTGTTTCCTGCTCACCCAGGCTCTGGTAGAATTCATTTTCTTGTGGTTGTAAAACTGAATTCCCCACTTTCTTGCTGGTTGTAAATTGAAGGCCATTCTCACTTCTAGAGGCAATCATATTCCTTGGCTCACAGCCCACTTCTGCCATCTTCAAAGCCAGCAACAACTGGTGAAGTCTCTCTTACACTTCAGTTCTTTCCTCCCTCTTCTGTCTCTTTTTCCTGATCTACCCTTTTGCTTCCTTCTTCTGCTTTTAAGAACTCATGTGATTAGATTGAGCCCACCTAGATAATCCAGGATAATCTCCCATCTCAAGGTACTTAGTTTTAATCACATCTACAGAATTGTTTTTGCCCTGCGAGGCAACATGTTACAGATTTCAGGGATTAGGATGTGACCTTTCAGAGGGCCATTATTCTTCCTACTACATTTACAATGAAGCACTGAGTATGGGACTAAGCCTGAAAGGAACAAATCCAGTTTACATGACAAGAATTTGTATACACCTTGGAACAAATACCCCATAAATAGTGAAGAGTATCACACAGATAACACTTAACTCTAATTCCTGACATGTAAAATAGATATTAAATTAAAATGTAAAATATATATTAAAATACATATAATATATTACCTTAAAAAATGTTGACATTGTTTTCTTTTATGCCTTAACTCAATTAGTAATATATTTCTCCATATGGAACTTTCTTTTTCCAACTTCAACTCTTTCTTATCTTTTTAGTTCCAGATTGAAAAATGGCAGATTGCCCGTTGTAACAAGAGCAAGCCTCAGAAGTTTATTAATGATTTAATGCAAGTACTTTACACAAATGAATACATGGCCACTCACAGCCTGACAGGGGCAAAATCCTCTACTTCAAGGGACAAAGCCGTAAAACCAGCTATGAATCAGAATGAAGTTCAAGAAATCATAGGTGATAATATGATTGCGTTACATTGTCACACGAATTTTAAATCATGTTACCACTCAAGGTCAAGGTAGTCCTTCATGGTCCTTTTATTTTTTAAAGTTTCTTTTTCTAGGAAAGAAAAATCTCAGGTTAGTCTAAAACTCTCATTAAATATGGGAAATTTTATAGAAAAACTTTACATTAAAAATGGTTATTAAAATAAAACTAAGTTTTATATCACCAAAAAGTTTGAATTCATACAATTTATAGCTTTGGAAACGTAAATTCTTACAATCTTTTAAAGTAAAATTTCAATAACAATTTCTACTTTGCTTTTGTTATATTTCTTATCTTTCATTCTAGAAAGATAAAGGCTAATTCGACCATCCTATTTGTGGTTTTCAAATTAATGAATCTCCTTAAATAAAATCTAGATTATCCAATTAATTTTTGACAACATCCAACAAATTTAAGGATTCTCTGAATCCCAGCTCTATATATGTCATTTCTTAATGTACGACAATGTCTGTCTTCCTGAAACAAAAAAACTACTACTTGTAACAACTGCAGTGAAATTCTTTCCCTTGGCTCACACATACTGTTAGACTGACTTTAAAAGTTAGAGAACATGGCTAGGCGTGGTTGCTCATGCCTGTAATCACAGTGGTTTGGGAGGCTGAGGCAGACAGATACAGAAAAAGATCAGTCAGAGTTTAGTTGTTTCAACTAATGTTGGGAATGGATAAAAATACATTCCTAACGTTTTAGAGCAAGAGGACTTAGAGTTTAAAGCAAGTAGGAGGATTAAAGTTAATTGCTACCATAGGATCTCAGCTGATAATACAGATCTGCTGATATCTCTTGCTTTACTTAGAAAAACCTGCCTATATATTCATCTGTTTAAATATCTCATGGGTCTTTGGGCTACTTTTGTAAAATGGAAACAAAATTATAATGTAGAATACTTGATGTTTTACCTCAGTTCATCCCCTAAGATGCAAAGGACTCATAAAGTTTCTTGTGTGTTGTTATTGGTTTTTTACAGGAGTAACAAAACAATTATTTCCCAATACGGATGATGTTTCAATTAGGAGAATGATAGGGCAAAAGCTAAACAACTGTACCAAGAAGCCAAATGTAAGCAAAAATCTTAACTCTCAGGATATTAAATAGATCCTTTTGGTAAGTCTTTTAAATCTTCAGTCCTTTCAATGTGGCAAGAAAATGTTGTAATACTTTTATCTATGGAATAGCATTTTCCAAATACTCTGCTAGAAAATACTAGTGACCTGTGAAAGGCTAATAGGTATTCTTGGTGGCAAAAGGGGAGAACTTGGAGCGGGTTTAAATTTGGAAAATGCTGGATTCAGTTTTTCTTTCTCAGAACCTCTCAGATATTTTGATACCCTTTTAACATGCCCATGTGCACCAGAAATCTCTAAGAAAGGGATATAGTGTGTAGTGTTTTCCAAATGTGTTTTACTGAGGAAATTTTTTCACAGAAATTCTGTTAACTTGGTGGTGATAGAATGGAGCCAAAGAGAGGACACATGACAATTTAAGAAGTATTTCTCTCTAAAACAGAGGAGATTTAGACCCTTGGGAAATCTCTTAGGTACATTGATGAGACTGAACTTCCGGCTCTAAAAGTGGTCTGACATTTGCACAAACTATTGGCTGAAGTGTGGAGGGTTCTTCTCCACCATCCTACATGTTGCTTCTCATGGTCTTTAAAATTTTTAATTAGTTGTTATTGTTTAATAAGGATTTTTACCAAGATGCATGTCCTATACTAAGAAAAAGAATAATTTTTTAGTGAGAGTTCTAAAGTAAATATGCTTTCTAGTCAGGCCTTGACCCAGGCAAAACTGTGAAGTGGAATTTTTCCACCCACTGTCCTGGCTAGCTCACTTGTACTTACCCTTCCTCTCTCTCTACTATTTTGATGGAAAATATATGAAACCATGTGTATGATTGCATTAACGTTTTCATTGATTAATAGAAGCATGTGGGTAACACATGACGGTAAGGCCCACCACGTATATTCCTTTTTTCCTTCCATTTTCCTTCCATTTCTATGTTTGACTTGTACTTTGCCTGTCCTCTGCCTAATTCCAGCCACTTTTGAGACCATTTTACTTGTCTTCATTTTTTCTGACCATATTTTAAATGACATGTGGAGCTGAATGTAATGCAGAAATCCCCTGCCCCCCATGCCCTACACATTACTGACTACCACTCCCATCCTCCTCCCGAGAGGCTGAGGTGGGAGGATAGCGAGGTCGAGGCTGCAGTGAGCTGTGATGGTGCCACTGCACTCCAGCCTGGGGGACAGAGTGAGACCTTGTTTGCAAAAAAAAAAAAAAAAAAGTTATAAAAGATAAGGTTACCTGTATCTTTTTTCTCCAAGTGATTATAAATTTCAGTAGATTGTGACCTCACAACTTTTCAATTAGATAATTGCTTAAATATGCCCTTAGTACTTCCCATTTTGACATGAGGTTAGCCACCCAGTTACCTTGATGTATAATGACCAAACTCTCTCTCTCTTTTTTTTTTTTTTTTTTTTTTTTTTGGAGACAGGGTTCTCACTTTGTTGCCCAGGCTGGTTTTGAACTCACGGGCTCAAGCAGTCTTCCCCAAGTGGCAGAAAGCACTCCACCCAGCAACTAATTTCCTTGTCTTTTCTTTTTTATTTTTATTTTTTGAAAACAGAGTCTTGCTCTGTAGCCCAGGCTGTAGTGCAGTGGCACGATCTCTGCTCACTGCAACCTCCGCCTCCTGGGTTCAAACAATCCTCCCGCCTCAGCCTCCTGAGTAGCTGGGACTACAGGTCCGCACCATCACACACAGCTAATTTGTGTCTTTTTAGTAGAGACGGGGTTTCACCACGTTCCCCAGGCTGGTCTCGAACTCCTGACCTCAAGTGATCTGCCCACCTCAGCCTCCCAAAGTGTTGGGATTACAGGCATGAGCCACTGTGACCAGCAAGTTCCTTTTTTAAATGCTATGTTACCAGACCTCCAAGCCAAGTGGCTATCTTTTGGGGCACACTGTTGTATTTCAGAGGTCTATAAAGCATTTTAATATCCTAAACTCTTGTTTTTTTTAATATTTCTGACTTCCAAGGATAGACACAAAACTCATCCCTGACTGTATCAGTCAGCAGAATGCTAAAGAAGTGAAAGTTAAGAGATTTTTATGTCAGTTTTGCTTGTACTTAACAATAGAAGTGTTATTAAATCTGCTAGCTATGGCATTAATTAAAATTGAAACAAGGAACAGACATTTTGCTATGAACCTTGTGCCTTTTGGACCTGAGCCTGGCTTAATAGTGTCAAGTTGTTTAGACTAGAAATGCATGTATTTTGAATCAGTAATGGAGATAAGCTAGAATGGAATTTTTTAAATTTGCAAATATCTTTCATTTTAAGTATGGCTGAATTCAAATTATTGCAAAAAGGACCGAGGAAAATGTGCTGGAGAAGACAGGGTCGTGTAAGACCTAATTTGGACATGCTTGATGAATTCATCAGATATAGCACCGTCTAGTGGAATACTGTTACCTTTTTCTGTTCTGAGTCATTTAACTCACAGGAGCCTATAGCCCTGCCCTGCCACCAAAAATACCCTTTGGAAAAATTACTTTTCTAGCATGGTCCCTGTAGTAGACCGTGCCCTCCGCTCAGTCCTGAGCTCCGGTTGTCACTGGTGGCTTAGATTTAAAAGGGTAACAATTTCCCAGTTATGGCTCAGGTCTGTGAGGGTAAGTCCTAAACTCCTCCCTTCTTTTTTTCATCTATTCTCTTATTCCTGTGGCTGCCCTAAAGTTGCTTGTAGCTCTCACATGCCAAGAGCTTGATTTTTTTCCAAGGTGTCTCCATGTTTCACTTCTTTCTTGCAGGCATTGAAGAAAACTGTATTTATAAGATTTACAGAATGTTAGGCTAGCACCTCTATAACATCCAACTAAGTGACCAAACAGCCTTCTCCTGAAATTTCCAAAGCGGCCTCAGGGTATACAATCTCTGGCATAATGTTACATAACATATATTATAACTTCTAGGTGATCTAATACAGTGGTGCTCAAATGGTGGGGGACGGCGGGGAGGGAGGTGTGATTTAGCCACCTTCCTCCAACACAGGGTATTTAAGAACGTCTGGAGATATTTTTTATTGTCAAAACTGGTGGTACTTCTGGCATCCAGTGGTCAGAGGCCAGGGATGCTGCTAAACATTGTTATTGAATTTGGTTTGCTAGTATTTTGTTGAAGATTTTTGTATCTGGTTCATCAGTGATGCTGGCCTGTAGTTTTGGTTTTTTGTTGTGCCCTTCTCTGGTTTTGGTGTCACGGTAATACTACTTTGTAGAATGAGTTTGCAAGTATTCCCTCCTCTTCAGTTTTTTTTTTTTTTTTTTTTTTTTTTTTTGAAGAATTAGAGTAGAATTGGTATTACTGTCTCTTCAAATGTTTGGTAGATTCAGGAGTGAAGCCATCAGGTACTGGGCTTTTCTTTGAGGGAAGACTTTTTATTATAATTTTGATCTTGTTACTCCCTACTGATTTATTGAAGTTTTCTATTTCTTCATGGTTCAGTCTTTTTGGGTTGTATGTGTCCAGGAATTTAGCCATTTATTCTAGGTTTTCCAATTTGTTGGCAAAGAGTTTTTCATAATAGTCTCTAATGAGTCTATTTGTGTGGTCTCAGTTATTATGTCTCCTTTTCCATTTCTGATTTTATTTATTTGGCCTTCTTTTTATTTCTTAGTCTAGCTAATGGTTTGTTGATTTTCTTTGTCTTCTAAAAACACCAGCTTTTTGTTTCATTGAACTGGTTTTTTAAATCTGTTTTGTTTATTTTTGCTCTGATCTTTATTATCTCTTTCCTTCTACTATTTTAGGTTCCATTTGTTTCTGCTTTTCTAGTTCTTTGAGGTTCACTGTTAGGTTGTTTATTTGAAGTCTTTCTACTTTTTTGATACAGGTGTTTATTGCTACGAACTTCCTTCTTAGTACTGCTTTTGCTGTATAGTATAGATTTGGGAGTGTTGTATTTCCATTTACATTCGTTTCAAGAAATTTTATACTGTTCTTCCTAATTACTTCATTGGTCATTCAGGAGCGTGTTATTTAATTTCCATATGTTTGTGCATTTTCTGAGACCCTCATGTTATCAGTTTCTAGTTTCATTCCATTGTGGTCATAAAAAATACTTGATATGATTTCTACTGTTTTGAATTTATTGAGACTTGTTTTGTGGCCTAGATATAGCCTCTTCTGGAGAACGTGCCATGTGCTAATGAAAACAATGTGTATTTTATAACAGTTAGGTGAAATATTCTGTGAATATCAGTTTGGCCTATGTGATCTATTGTATACTTTAACTCTAGTGTTTCCTTGTCAATTTTCTGTCTGGAGGATCTGTCCATTATTGAGAGTGAGGTGTTGAAGTTCCTCAATATTACTATATTGCAGTCTATCTCTCCCTTTAGATCTATTAATGTTTGCTTTATATACGTGGGAGCTCTCGTGTTGTGTGCATAGACACTTTTAACTATTATAGCCTCTTGCTGAAATGACTCCTTTATTATTATATAGTGACCTCCTGTGTCTCTTTTTACAGTCTTTGACTTGTACTTGTTTTACCTGATATAACTACTTCTGCTCTTTTTTGGTTTCCAGTTGCATAGCGTATCTATTTCTACACCTTCACTCTCAATCGATGTGTGTCTTTATAGGTGAAGTGACTTTCTCACAGGCAACATGCAGTTGGGTCTTGTTTCTTTGCCATTCAGCCATCCTATACCTTTTAATTGGAAAACTAAGTCAATTTACATTCAATGTTATAATTTTTCTTTGAGGCAAGGTCTCACTCTTGTCCCGGCAGTGGTGTGATCATGGCTCACTGCAGCCTCAACTTCTTGGGCTCCAGTGATCTTCCTACCTCAGCCTTCTGAGTAGCTGGGACTATAGGCACGTGCCACCACACCTAGCTCGTAAGGTAGGATATCACTATGTTGCCTAGGCTCAGTGTTATTATTGATCAGGACTTACTACTGTTATTTTGTAGCTTGTATATTTTCTAACTCCTCTTTTCCTTTCTTCCTTTTGTGCTGTCTTCCTTTGTGGTTAAATGATTTTCTCTGGTAATATGTTGTAATTTGTTGCTTTTTATTTTTAGTGAATCTATTAAAGGTTTTTGCATTATGGTTACTATGAAGCTTATAAAAATATAGACATAAATTATTTTTAAAAGATGGCGATTTTTATTACAAATAAGTTTTTAAAAACTGTATAAAGGGTTTTTTTAGGTCTACAGTTTAATTGCATTCACCCCACATTTTGACTTTATGTTGTCTCATTGACATGTTTTTATATTGCCTATCTCTTAATAGGTTGCTGTAGATATTATTGTTTTGATAGATTTGTCTTTTGAGCTTCGTAGTGGTGTTATGAGTGGAGTTTAAACAACAATTACAGTTTTAGAGAATTTTAGATTTGTCTGTATACTTAATTTTACCAGTGGATTTTATACCTTCAGATGTTTTGTTGTTGCACATTAGCATTTTTGCCTTTCAGACTGAAGAGCTCTCTTTAGATTTCTTATAAAATGAGACTGTTGGTGGTGAATTCTCTCAGCTTTTGTTTCTCTGGGAAAGATTTTATATATCCTTCACATTTGAAAGATAACTCTGCTGGATACAGTATTTTTGGATGACAGGTTTTTTTTTCCTTTAAGCACTTTGAAAATGTTGTTTCACTCCCTTCTGGCCTGTGTGGTTTCTGTTGAGAAGTCTATTGCCAGGTGAGTTTGAATTCCTTTATATGTTAGTTGCTTCTTTTCTCTGGCTGCTCTTAGAATCCTGCTTTGTCCCTGATGTTTGAGAATTTGTTACATGCTTTTGGGTAGTCTTATTTGGGTTGAATGTGATTGGTGTTCTCTGACCTTCCTGTACCTGGATATTTAACTCTTCCTCAAGTTTTGGAAAGTTTTCTGTTACTATTTTTTAAACAGCGCTTTCTAATCCTTGCTTTTGTGTGATTCCCTCTTGAATAAAAATAATTCTTAGATTTGGTCTTTTGAGTTAATTTTCTGTATCTTGAAGGTGACCTTCATTCCTCTTCATTCTTGTTTCTTTTTGCTCCTCTGACTGTATATTTTCAAAAAGCCTGTCTTTGATTTCGCAGATTATTTTCTCCACTTGATCCATTCTGCTGTTGAGAGCCTCTAATGAATTTTTCAGTTCAGCAAATGTATTTCTCAATTCCAAGATTTCTGTTTGATTTTTTAAAATTATTCCTATCTCTTTGTTAAATATCTCTGATAAATTTATGAATTGCTTTTCTGTTTCCTGGGAGGTCACATAGTTTCCCTAAAACTGCTATTTTGAATTCTTGGTCGGAGAGTTCACATATCACCATTTCACTAGGGTCAGTCACTGATTTCTTTGTCTGTATGAAGAGGTCATTGTTGCTTGTTTGCTATTATTTCTTGTGGATCTACATCTATGACTTTGCATTGAAAGACTAGTTATTTACTTCTGTCTTTTTGGTCTGACTTGTTTTGGTTTTTATTGGATATGCTTGCTTATTTGTAATATACCAGTTGATTTTCTGTCTTTTTTCCCAACTAGGTCACTGCCTCCTTTTTGGCACTAACTGGTGCCTTAAGCCCAGGTTTGCCTCAGTTCTAGCCAACAATCAGAGTGCTGCCTGACCTGAATGGGGGCTGTCCCAAAGAGGATATCCTGGTTATGTGAAAAGGCTGGCTAGGGGTCCATGCTCAGGGGACCTGTGGAACACACCTCTTACAGTGTAGTGCTGCTAAACAGGCACTCTGATTTGGTGCATCAAGATGATGAGGAAGTTCACTGTCCACCTTGATCTCACTTTTTGCAGTGTAGAAATTGTGAGTCAGAAAGAAATTTTCCTTGTGCTTGATGCTGGGGTATTAGGGGAGAGGATTATGGATAAGGAAGCCTGAATCTCTTACCACCTACTTGGAGCTTTTTATTTTTATTTTTATTTTTTTACTTCTCTGTGGCCTGGGAAACTGTTTCATCCTCTTACTTGAGTTCTGGGATATTGCTGGTGATAATCTTGGCACTGTATGTTTGTTTTTGGTTTTCTGTGATAGGGAGTGAAGTCAGCTTGCTTCTACACTGCTATTTTGGAACCAGAGTCCCTCAACAATTTGTATTTTTAATACAGATTTGTAGTAGATACAAAAATGAATAACTAATACAACTGTTAAAATACTATGAGAATGTTAACATAAATTTGTATTTCTTTGAAATTTGCTTTTTATAGGTATTACAGGTATCTGAAACAAAGCACCTTCAGTTCTAAATCTAGCACTGGATTTTGTTGGAGAATCTGCAGCCTTCCTGGCAGTGAGCAAGGACAGACATGTGCAGTGACAGGCTGTAAGACATATGTAACACTGCTGAGCTCTCCTAAGGGACCAACAAGCTTGCTGAAGAAGCTGCATGTAGATTCCACCCTCAGTACTAGTGATGCATCAAACCAGAGAATTTCTGCCAGTCAAATAAGCATGCAATATGGTTTCTTTGGAAATAAGCATTTCCCAATCCCCAAACACCCCTCTGTACAGTTAATTTAACAGGATAGTCAGAGCTCTTATCATATAGCAGTCAAAACTTCAGCCCATAAGATTAGTCATTGTCCTAACCAATCATTGTACATTGATTATTACCAATGACTTCCCATTATAGTTTTTGGATCTTTAGCATAAGCACATGTTTGCAAAAGTAAACAGTGAAATAATTAATGCTGGCAAATATGGGAACAACAAAGTCACCCCAAAATCTGATAATCATGTCTAACCAAGTAATAATGTTTTAGCAATAAAATTACAGGATTATTCTGTTATCTAAAAATGTATAAAATAGGAATATGAAAAAAATGACAACAGCAAGATGTTTTATTTTAATATTAAACAATTCCACCACACTTCTGAAGAATAAACCTAAGTTTTTGTGATTGTTAAAACAATGTATCAATTTTCAGGGAAATCTTTTTGTTTATCTACCAGACATGTTCTAACTTTGTATTGCCCAAAGTATATTAAATACAGATGTGTAATATAAAGCATCAATATCACCTAAAACATCCTATATAAGATATAACCTGATAGATAGTTGGTCGATTACATTGCTATACTGCTTAGTTTTAACTGGTTTATTTTTATTGTAGCAGAAGAGAAATGACCTGAAAAAAAAGTATGAGTTTGATAATCACACACATGAAAGTACCATTTTGTAACTCAACAAAAGATAAAACATACTGCATCAAAAGGCTTCTCGCTTGGTGTCAGGTTGTCACATGTGACCACTCTGCAATGCGAAGCCATACTTCTTCAGTGCACAAAGTCATGTTTAAACTTGGAAAAGAGGATGCTACAATAGTTTCAAAGTTCAGTGTTGTGGACCCAGGAAACTTTCCGTAAGTCTTGCTTGATAACAATGTGATTGTACAAAATAAATGTTCTTAAGGAAACAACTTATGTAACATTTGCTACCTTTACTTAAACATAAATAAATCCCATTGAAAAGATAAAAGTTATTTTCTTCTTGTTTCTTTTTTAATGTATAAAAATTAGGAAAAATTTTGTTCTAGGCTAATAGCTTTTTCACTCATCCATTAAGGCATTACCATTACAATTTGACTATGTAGCTCTGACTAATTTTTCTTGTAAAGAGCCATGCTATGTAGGATATGTAGACAACATCCAGGAAAGTAAATACATTTAATATTTTTATTGAAAAAAGATAATCTTACTAAGATATATGCTATTTGCTTTATTAAAAATGCTACTTGATAATGTAAGTTTTGCCTAATAAAGGCAAATAAAATTACCTTTGCAAAACATAACTGTATTATTCAACTGGAACTTGTATGGTCTTATGTATTTTGAAATATGTTGACATCTTTATAGATAATAGAATAAATGTATTTTTGATTCATCTTTGTAAATTGGTTCTAAATGAGTTACAAAATAAGAAAACTAATAAAACTGAAGAGAGTACCCAGCAAGCAATTAATATACATGTAGGTATCTATATATACGTATATTATGTATTCACATGTATAAGACTTAAGAATATGATTAAAGCAGAATCTTTAATAAGCAGGGAAAGGAAGGTTTATTCAATGATACTGAGACAACTAATAAATAGAAAACATTGTTATATTCCTACTTCGAGTCATATTACATAGAAACTTTCAGATGAATGAAAAGCAAAAAATGGACTCAGATGAAAAAAATGTTAAATACAAGAATATTTTTATGTTCTCTGAATAAGAAATACATTTTCAGTCCAAAGTTAGTTCAGCCAAAATGCCAAAGAAAAAACTTACTAACACATGAGTTCCTACATGTGTGTTTTGTGATTTTCCTATACAGAGGTGATCATTTCACTAAAAACTTTACCTTGTGGTGGATATATGATATGATCAACATTCTCGCTAGTTCTGTGACATCATCCTTCTTGTGAATGTTTTCATGCATTTATCCATTTTTCCAGCTTTATCGAATTGTTTCTTATAAAATCTTTGTATTGATGCTGCGCTATAGTCTTTCTTGAATACTTATTGTTTAGTGACATAGTTTTTCCTGGACCAGCAATTTACGGGCAGTTTCATGGATGGTAGGAGACTCCAGGGTCTTCTTTTGGGCTTTAAACCTTGCAAAGGCCCTTTCTTTGCTGTCGCAGAGACCAGTGATCCTGACAGGTATGGCTTTTCTGGGAAATTTTTTTGTGCATCCTTGCTTCCTCTAGTTCTCTGATCCAAGCTGAATTTGGAAGGGTTTCCGTCACCAGCCCTGCATTTCCCAGGCCCTTCAGGACCTGTAAACAAAAGAGCAAAGTCCTTGGCTGGGCATGCAACATCACAAAACCTGTCTTTACTTAAAAAAAAAAAAAAGAAAAATTAGCTGGGCATGGTGGCCTGTGCCTGTAGTCCCGGCTACTTGGGAAGCTGAGGTGGGAGGATCACTTGAGCCCAGGAGGTCAAGGCTGCAGTGAGTTATTGTGGATGTCATGGGCTCTTGATCCCATAAAGATTTGCTAAAAATAACTGAAACCGCCTTTGTGAAAATAGTAACTGAGGAAATTATGACAGTGAAAGAGATCAGACCTAACCCACCCCATCTTCCTTCTAACCTCTAAACTGTCTGTTCATTCCTGGGCATAGGCCTAACTAACCTTGGGAAAGAATTTATAGTTTAAACTCTGAAACAAAATTGATAATAGCCCTTTCCCAAAAAACGCCTTCTTGCTTGGCCACCAGTCTGCTTTTTTAGGACTAACAAATTAGCTACAAGATTAGAAATTACGGTTCAGGGGCCATGCAGCCTCTGGCTGCAAGAGTCTGAACCTCCCCAAATTCCTCCTGGGAATAACATCACTGTTGCAAAACCTAAGATCAGTGCTTGAGAGATTTTGCAGACCCTGCATTACGACAACGATGCAGCAGATGACACCACCCAGACCAACAATCTGGCTCAACTAGTTCTGCAATCCCACTCAGGAACAGAACTCAGCAAGAACTCACTTTGACCCCCTATGATTTCATCTTCAACCTGACCAATCAGCACTCCCCACTTTCTTAGCCTATACCCGCCAAATTATCCTTAAAAACTCTGATCCCGAATGTTCCGGGAGACTGATTTGAATAATAACAACTCTGGTCTCCCACACAGCAGGATCTCCGTGAACTACTCTTTAGCCATTGCAATTCCCCTGTCTTGATAAATTGGCTCTGTCTAGGCAGCAGGCAAGGTGAGCCCATTGGGCAGTTACATCACTAACATGAGGTAGATTGATCAATAGTAGAAAAAGCATACAAATTTATTTAACATCTATACACAGGAGTCTTCAGAATTGCTCCCGGCAAATCCATAGGGGTCAGCAGCAACCTCAATTTTTGCCTCCTCAGGAGAAAGAATTCAACGGAAGGGCATAAAGTAGAAGGAGACACTAAGTCAAGTTTCAGAGCGGGAGTGCAAGTTTATTCAAAAGCTTTATTTAGAACAGGAAGGAAAGGAAGGAAAGGAAAGAAAAGAAGGAAAGTACAACTTGGAAGAGGGCCAAGCCAGCCATCGACTTGAGAAACCAAATTTACCTCTTTGCATCTTTAATATTGCAACAATGTATCTGAACCTATCTTTTGGCACCTCTTTTTCACTATTAAGTAGTATTATGTGTATATCAATTCCTGTGATACAGTTTGACTGATTGTGTTCATGTCTGCATGAGTGTATATTTATACTTGTTTATTTATATACCATTGATTTCCAAAAGAAGAAATATTGGCAGCAGTTTGCAAAGGAACTACTATACTGGTTAATACAGATGTTGTGACTGAGTTAAATTCGAGTTTCTGAGGTAAAAGTTATAAGTTACATAGTTTTTTATTTTTTATTTTATTTTATTTATTTATTTTTTTTTTTTGAGACGGAGTCTCGCTCTGTCGCCCAGGCTGGAGTGCAGTGGCCGGATCTCAGCTCACTGCAAGCTCCGCCTCCCGGGTTTACGCCATTCTCCTTTCTCAGCCTCCCGAGTAGCTGGGACTACAGGCGCCCGCCACCTTGCCCGGCTAGTTTTTTGTATTTTTTAGTAGAGGCGGGGTTTCACCGTGTTAGCCAGGATGGCCTCGATCTCCTGACCTCGTGATCCGCCCGTCTCGGCCTCCCAAAGTGCTGGGATTACAGGCTTGAGCCACCGCGCCCGGCCATAGTTTATTTTCATTTGTGTTTGTTGAGAGGGAGTCTCGCTGTCAGGCAAGCTGGAGTGCAGTGGCGTGATCTCAGCTCACTGCAACCTCTGTGTTTCGGGTTCAATCAATTCTCCTGCCTCAGCCTCCCCAGTAGCTAGGATTACAGATGCCCGCCACCATGCCTGGCTAACTTGTGTATTTTTAGTAGAGACAGGGTTTCACCGTGTTGGACAGGCTGGTCTTAAACTCCTGATCTCAAGCAATCCACCCGCCTCAGTCTCCCAAAGTGCTGGGATTACAGGCATGAGCCACTGCACCCGGGCAAATTACATATTTTATTAAAGAAACGAAGATGCAAGAAGTTGCTCAGCAAAATAAAGGTTTTACTGCATTAAATTCTGGAGGAAATTTTAATAAGGAATATCATGTAAAATTTTACAATGGTCAATCATATTTGTTTTACAGCAAATGTAGAAGATGTTGACTATTGTTCTAGACTAAAAATAGCATAGACTTGGGTTTTACTTCTGTTTCTGACACATCCAAACACCATACCTTTGGACAAAATACCATTTTATTTATCTCAGTTTAGTTAATTATAAAATAGGGATGATACCACTTACTCACAAAGTTTAGATTTGAATGAGACAATGTATATCAGGTATCTGTTGCATGGTGGGTTTAAGCATATCTTAATTCACATAAATCTCTTCTTACAATGATTTTCAAGAAAAACTCAAGGGCATACCACTAAGTTTACCCGCAATGAAAGTAATTTTACAAGGGGTAAGCAAATATCTGCAAGGTTCATACCTTCTGAGAGTTTGGTATAAACCAAAAGAACACTTAAGTAGCTGGCAAGGTAGATGGAAGACATGTGTCTTGAAATATTTTTCTTGAACTTTGGCCAGGAATGAGCAAGGGCAGCTTGGAGGTTAGAAGCCAAATGGAGTTGGTTAGGTCAGATCCCCTCCACTGTCAACATTTTCTCACTGTTATAACTTTTGCAAAGGTGGTTTCATTTTCAGGAAGTATACTTTTGTTGATGCTCACTGAGATCTACCATTCATAAAGTACCTTGACATTCTCTTTGCATTTTTGCCCAATTTAACTTCTAACAGCAACTTTTAAAAGTCTTTGGATTCTGTAGAGATTTTCGGTCACTTACATCACTAAAAATACCAGACCAGGTATTTTGTTTTTACTGCTGTTGCTCTGTTTTTATTTCTCTGTGTTGTTTTTTTCTTATTTCTTAGAGGAGCAAAAAGGTAAGAAAGTCCACTTTCATAATCATACAGAAGAGTTAGATCCAGTGCTTCTACTGCAGGATTGCTGGTAAAGATGACTGCTCAGTTAAATTTGAATCAGATGAGAAATGAATATTTCTCACTATATCTCATGTAATATTTGGCATAACCTTACACTAAATTGTTATTCGTATGAAATGCAAATTTAACTGGGTGTCCTGTATTTTTTTTTACTAAATCTGGAAACCCTATGTTACAATGAAGACTAATATCACTCTATTTCTCATTCTTTTATTCAGAAAATGTCCCTCCATTCTCTCCAAGGGTCCTTTAATTTTCTCTTTCCCCAACACAGTAGAATTTGATGGAAATGCGCTTTGTTGCATATCCTTTTTTATTCATTGCACTGGGTACATGATGGACCCTTTCAAACTGGATTCTTATGTCCTTTAATTCTGGGGACATACAGAGATATAGATGTAGATATTTCCAGTATTCCAATTAATTTGTCAATTTAATGATAATATATTGATTCTGTTGATTTCCTATCTTTATAATTTGTTAATCTCCTTGCTTCTTTCTTTTTTCTGCTTTCTGGAAGATTTTACTATATATTTTAAACCCCTCTATTAAATTATTTATTTTTTCCATCAAAATTCTAATTTCCAAGAGTTTTTTCTTGTTCAGTGATTATTCCTTTTTCATAAAATTATAGGCTTATATGTGCATGCTGTATTGCTATAAACTGGATGTTTGTGTTCCACTCCCCATCCCTCTGCAAATTTATATTTTAAAATCTAATCCCTAAATTGAGGGTATTTGGAGGTGGGGTCTTTGGGAGGCTCTGCCCTCATGAATGGAATTAGTGCTCTTACAAAAGTGGTCCCAGAGAGGTCCCTCA